CCTACAACCAGTGGTGTAATAACCCACTAAGCCTTTCACTATCCAATGATGAAAACGCTTTTGTCTTATTTACTTGTCTTATCAAGTACACCGCGATTGTCGATACACTGTTGTATTGCTCTAACAACTGTTGTATTTTTTCATAAATATCAGCAAGAAAGGAAAACTTAACTTAATGCGAAGTTATAATAAGAAAAAGCATTTAAAAAAAGAAAACAGAACATAAAAACCAATCAATGTTGATATTTTTTCATTGTAATTTTATTTTTATAATATTTATTAATAATAATTATAATATTTGTTAATAATAATTGATAATTACAATATTTATTAACGTTATTATTATTTATTATTAATATTTATTTATTATTACTTATTATTACTTATTATTTATTAACGTTAATCAATGGTATTAACAATCATTTTGGTAAAAATATAAGTGATAAGAGATAAGCCTGATAATAAAAAAATCTATTAGAAAAAAAGATTGTAAGATTGTACCGAATTGTTGCCAATTTGTGCCGATGGAGATGCTAGTGAATTATCAGAAATATGAAATCCAGAACGAATATTTTCATTAGTTGATAATAATTTTTTAGATTTTTTAGAATGATTGCTTGATGGAGATATATCACTTATTTGTCGATTTTCTTCCTTCGTTATTATTCGAGTTATATCTAAATTGTTATTTCCCATAAAATTATTATTTAGTTATTTATTCATCAAAAAAATTTATATTAAAATTAAAAATTTATATTAATATTAAGAATAATTATTTCAAAAAATAATAAATGAATTAATGCAACCAAAAATTTGATAAAAAGTTAAATATTAATCGAAATATTTTGATAAAGAAGAGGGAGAGGAATTAAAAAATAAATATGGTACTCCTAACTGGTTTTATAATTTTGGCCGTTATCTTCTTGTTTTCTCGTAAGATCTCTTTGAACATCGATATTATCATATATGCTGTCGTTTAATAAAGGCGTCGTCGCTTTACCATTATTCCTCAAAAACCTATTCGACATATCTTTTCTACGCTCTATAAATTATTCTTGTTTATTTTATATATTATTAATAATAATAGTAATTAAATTATATTAAATTTATAAAAGAAACAGTAAAATAACAATATAAACAAATGAAATACAATTAAATAATTGTTTAAATCAATATTTAAAATATTTTATAATTTTTAATATAAAAATATTACAATATTTTATTAAAATTCTTTCAAAATAATTATTTTTCATATACAAAATTATGAAAATAAAGGAATTAATGAAAATTTTAAGTAGTTAATAGCATCTGTAAAACATATGGTTGTAATATATAAAGAAATCGAAAAGCATTAATTTGATCTTAATTCTCCAAAAATATTTTTAGAATTTTATGAAACGACTTAAATTCTAACCGATGATAGTTATCAATATAATAGTATTAATCGAATGAAATGAAATAAAAATAAAAGAATAAAAAAAAAAACTTCCAACATAAAAATATTATGAATGAAAAAAAAATTCTTGAGAAATATAATAATATAAAGAAATATATAAAAAAATTTGAATAAAATAATTTTTATTTTTTAATTTTTCGATCAAATTTTGATTTCCTTAATTTTTTTAAAATTTTAATAATTATTCTCGATAATAAAAAATTTTGATTTTTTAAAGTTAAATTTTGATTTCAATAAAATTTTTTGAACAAATTTTAATTAATAATTCATTCAAATATTTTTTAAATAGAATTTAACATTTTAGTTTAATATTTAATTTTAATAGCTTTATTGTTATAATATTTAATATTATAATAATATTAGAATATTAACAATATTATTGATCACGATAAATTTAATAAACTGATAAATCGCATTTTTAATCCAAATTATCAATTATTAATCAACATAAAAATATTTTGCAAAAAAATATTAACATTAATTAAACAATAACGGCAAATAATAAAAAAAATTAAAGTAAAAAATTAAAAATATAAAAATGAAATACCTCTAAAATTGGAATTATTTAATTGATTTAAATTATTATAAACAATATTTGGAATAGTCGATTGTGATGATTTATGTTTCGATAAAAATTCTTCTTCATGACTAATGATCTAAAAATATTCTATTGTTATTTGTTTTTTTTTCGAAATCTATTTTTTAATGCTAAATAATAAGATTATCAATTAACATTAACTTTATCATTTATCATTAATCGCAATGAGTTTTTTTTTTCCTTTTGAATATTTCTGTAAATTATAAGTAAATAAAAAATGAATATAAGTGGATTTGAAATAACGATTTGACGTCAAAAATATAAAAAAATATATTCGAAATTTTTTCTAATAAAAAGATAATAAAATTAATCGAATTATTTAAACAACAAATGCTAACTAATAGACTCTTAAAAAATTCTTTTGATAGAAAAAACGATTAGACAAAATTTAATTATTAAATGGCTAATTCTATTGTATATATTTTATTTTATGAATAAATAAAAATTGAGAACTTATGAATTTTCATTTTCATTCGTACCATTAATTACTGGAATAAATCACCTAATGATGTGTCTGAATGGTATATTTTTTCAAATATTTTAAAAACTATCTGTTCGAAAAAAGGAGCTAAAAAAACAATTTATCATAAAAGCGATAAGAACGAAGAGCGACTGATATGAAATCCCAGAATAATGAAAAGAAATAACTGGCGATGATATTATAAGTAAATCAGTAAATTTAATAATTTTTTATTAGTTATCTGTTTAATGAAGAAAAATAAGGCAATAAGCGCTATATGCTTGATATGATAAATGATAAAATATATCAGATATCAGATATTGATAAAACACAATTGAAAGACTATTATAATATTGAAATTGTCAGTATTTGCATCATTCATTATTTTTGTTATTTTTAATATTATTTATTAAATATTTAAGCGATATAAAATGAATAGCAGTAAAATGTTTTGTATTTCGCTGGAATATATGAAAAATATTATAAAAAAACATGTTTTAAAAATAATATCTATATTCATTTTTTCCTGAATATCCTGAATTTAATAAAATTTTGGAATTTTAAAAATTAATAATTAAGTAGTTTGTTTCTATCGCTAAATGACTTTCAAGAAAAATTTTGTCTGATCCGACATGTCAATGGGGGAGAATTTTTAAAAATTATTCACAATTATTGTTTAGACCTACTCCGTTGACTCATAATCTTGTCATACTAGACAAATATACTAGGAAGTCATTTAGCGACAGAAATCCGGATGAGTCATCAGTCATCACTCGGATTTTTGGACATATTTAGTCCTATCGAGAATAGAACAATTTCAGTATCTGCGCTTCGAATTGTGCAACAAAAACAACTTTAAAAAAAACTCTTTTGTGAAATTAGCGAAATTATGAATGAATAAAAAATGAAAACAAATTTATGAAAAATTTTACTTAATATTTATTCTTAAAAAATTATTAACGCTTAAAAAACCAGCAAATATAGATTTGTTTCAATTGCTATTTTATTTTTATTTTTATTTTATTGCAATTTAATTTTTATTTTTTCAGTAATTATAAATTAAAGAATAAAAAATATTGTAGGAATTTGGTTCTTTATAGAAATAGTCGTTGAGTTTGACGATTAGTAAATAAAAACGAGTTTTTATGTAATTTTTCGAATTCTTTAAAAATTTAGAATGATTTAAATTATATGGATCAAGCGTAGAAGATTTATATTTTATAGATAAATTTGCATTAAGATGATTTTTAAAAAAAATTGCCTTTTACAAATCCTCTATAGATTTTATACGTTTATTCGCCTAAACCTACGATTATCTGCAAGATCGATAGATTTGTATATATATTTTTGGTGAACTATTTTCGTAATTTGTGGGTGAATAAGAATTTCATAGAGAACCATGAAAGATTTTCTTTTAAAAATTCTCTATTAAGAATTTTAATTTTTCTTTCTTTTCTTTCGAATTTATTCGTGAATATTCTTGAAATCAAATTCGAAATTTACTAATTGCAAGAACCAAAATTACCAATAAAAATCTAATCTAAAAATAAGACCTGAAATATTATACAATGAATGTGAGAAATACATAAGAGAAATACCAAAGTCTGAAAGAGGAACTAGAGAAGAGAAGCTGAAAATAAAAGCCAAAGTAATCCCACTGATAACTGGAGCACTTGGAACTGTGATGCCTAAGCTAGAAAAGTGGTTTCATCAGATTCCAGGAACGAAACAACAACATCAGAGACTTTTATCGAAAAGAACACACTATTAGAAACGGTTAAGATACTACGCAGAACCAGACCTCTGGTAAAGGATTCGAGTTTGAGAATAATCGCCCACAGGAGAGTGAAAGAAAAGTTATTTTTTTTACTAAAATCAAAATTATATTAAGAATTGATGAGTTAATATATGGACCTTCAACTAGAAAGCATAATCTGCTTTTTTTTTTTTTTAAATATCACCCGTATAAAAAATATGAATTCACCAATTTGACCAATTCGTTAGCATAAAGTTAGGCTATGAATGAATTCCTAAAGGCATAAATATCATTCTTATAATCGTAATTGCGTTTTAAATCTGTCACATTGGGAAATAACAGATCAAAATGGTTGCCTTGAGGCATAGGTAGTGAAATATTACATTAAATATAAAAATGCTAAACATCTGGTGACGATCATTTAAGTAATTCGATATATAATTCGATATATTAAATAAGTCTCCTGTGGTACCCATATTATATTAATCTTATTTAATAGGATGAACATATGATGATATTTAATATGATTAAAATGTGAGAAACAATTAAATGGTTTAGTTTAATCAAAATAGACAACAGCGGTTTTATATGGTTTTGGATTCAGATTAAATGCGCAGTTTAGCTTATCATTTATCAATTATAGCTTATCGCCAGCTATCACTAGTTGAAAATATCTGAATGACATCAAAATAATCTCATTTTTTCTATCATTGTATTTTATTCGATCCATTCATGCATATGATATTTTTACCTAATAAGGAATTAATTAAACTTAATGAAAAAATGATAGAGTGATAATAAATAAAAAATGATAATAAAAATATCGAAGCAAAAATACTTTTTTGTCCTGTTGATTATGATTATGTTGTAAATTACAAAGATCATTATCGTTATTGTTATTATTTAAATTTTCGGCATATTGCAAAAGCATTGCTATACTTTCGTCAATATTACAATTATTCCTATAAAAAAATATAAAAAATTAAAAAAAACATTTTAAACAATTTGTTAAAACTTGAAAGAATCATCATTCCGGATGATGCCAGCGATTCACCTGTACTTCTATCACCAAGGAATATTATATGGTTTTGAATTCAGACCAAAATCCCTGGTATATTTATCTTGTGCGACAGGCCAGCGGAATCTGAACAATAATAGTGAGGGCTCTTAAAAAAAAAAAACCATTATACCTGGAAATTTCTTGAGCAATATATTGCATTTCTTTGTTTTCTGGTGACATCGCATGATTAGCGATTTCATATGAATTAATTTCTTGCATAGCTGAATAATCTTTAGCATCATTTGTTTTGTTGATCAGTTTCTGCATGTTATTATCATTGTAATATGGTAAAAATAATGTTGGAATATTTGTTGTTTGCCTTGAAGCTGATAAATTTTGATAATCCAATTGGTTCTTAATATGATCAAAAGAGGAGCAGTCGATAAGTGGAGGAGATCTAGAGGTATTTAATGATGAATCGACTGGCTCAGAAAGCCAGTCAAACGAGCTTGATCGTGATAATGTTGTTGGACTTGTTTGTGTACCACATTCCTAAAAATTAATCAGCAATTAGAAATAAAGAAATTTAACCTTGATATTAAAGAATATTAGTGTCACATATCGAAATATTATCATTAATCAGTCGTTTTTAGTTTTTCAAGCGAGTTTGAGTCGAAATTTATAAATGGTATATCTTTCGGCTAAAAATAGCTCAATGGGTCATTCTTTCCATTTCTATTCCCAATATCAATACCAGAGTTCTATTCTCGATAAGCGCAAATCTGATAAAAATCTGGATGTTGCTGGCCAATTACCTTTATTCCAATCCCTAAGTGACTCTTTGGCAAAATTTGTCTCATCCAACAAGTCAGTTTAAAAATGATGAGCGCTACTGGAGAAAAAAAAGTGTTAATTTATGCAAAAACTATCAAATTTGCATTGTTTTATCGTTTTATTTATTGCCTATAAAAATTTTTATCATTTGTAATTAATGTAGAATAAAAGTATTTTATTACATTCTATTCATAACAAAAATATCAATATTTCTGTTTTATATAATTCGTTAATATTAATTTTTTAAAAGAATTCATTAACATTGTACGCAAGAATTAATCAAAATTAAATGATAAATTATGAAAATTCAAGATCTATTGTATTACATATTTTGTAACTATTTTTGTTATATTTTATTATTTTGAGGAGGACAGAATAGCCGAATAGTTGGCTATTGTTTCGACTATCGTATCGTATCTATTATATTAGAAATGACCAACGCTAACCATTTATTCATTTTTGAAAATATTTATAAAAAATTCAGAATTTAAATAGATTAATTTATACTTACCATAATAATGAAGCAAAATAAAAAAAATTTAAAGAATTTTTATAAATTTCTAAATTTATTAAAATGCTAACTTGTCGAATAACATTAGATTGAGTCGATTCACCATTATCATTATTGTTACCATTGTCACCATTTTTCAATGAAATTGATTCATTGATAGTTGTTTTTAATCGTGTTTCTTCAGCCGCTTTTATTAATGATGCAACAACACCATGAACAGAACGTTCATTTATTTTGCTCTTGTTATGCATTTTGATATAATCGAGTTTAGTTCTTTCTTCACTTGATGATTGACTAGTTCGTCGTTCTTCAACCTTAACAAAGAAATAGTGTCTATAATAAATAATGTAAAATTGCAGTTTAATACAGTTAGTCTAGAAAAATATTTTTAAAAAAAATTATTTTAGGCAATTTAAAAAACTATACTAAAGAATTTATTTGAAACGTTTGAAATTTTCATTTAATAAAAAAAAAATTTTTTTTTTGAAACTATTTATTTTAAAATTTTTTGAAATATTTTAAATGATAAAGTTTAATCATAATTTTTTAAAAAAATTAAACCAAAAATTAATAATTACTTTAATATTAATTAATATTAATATAAAATTAAATCACACATTAACATTAAGCCAAAAAAAAATATTAATTTAAAAATAGAAAAATAATAAAAAATGAATGATTTTTTGCAAATTTTTTGCCATATTACAAATGTTTTTCGTTAAAATTTAACGATAAAATCAACTTGATAACTTGATAATGATATAATTTGATTATTGATAACAAAATCTTTTATCAATTCCTCGATAAATTTTTGAATATTTTTTAAAATTCTAAGCGCATTATTTAATGAAAGATTTGAAGAACGATGTAGTACTTTAAAAAAAAATATGGAATACAGCCATAATAAAAATTAATAATAACATTATTACTGCTGCAACGACGATATTATATTTTATAATATTATGATTATTTTATATTTTGTATTTTAATTATAGTTTATAACATTATAAATAATAAAATGTTATTATACTAGAATATTATATAATAGTATATTTTAAATTATAAATAATAATAAAAGTAGTTAATAAATAATAATTGCAATTAATAAATTAAATTGTGATTTAATTGCTAGGAGCTGTTGGGTTTTTCTAGTCGCAGTAGATATAAATTTCTATAAATCTCTCAAAATCTTCCAAAAATCCGGTTGATATTAGCAATCGATCTACATTTCTTTTATCGCTAAGTGGTTCTTTCCAAAATTTGTCTAATTTTGACAAGCAAATAGAAAGAATTCAGAAATTTAACGAAAAAAATTAATAATAGTCCTGCGAACCATTTTTCTTATCGAGAAATATTGTCACTATCGTTCAACAATATTTCAGTAAAAATAATAAAGCAATTTGAGAAGAAATAAATCATTTATGGTTGTTCAACGGAATTGTTCATCAGTAAATTCATAGTAAAAAAAAAAATTTTCACTTATTTCAGTGAAATTTTCTCGCTCTTTTTTTTGAAATATTAATTTAAAAATGGAAAAATATTTAAGAAAAAGCATTTTTACACAATAAATAATGTAATGATTGGAATAAAAAATAATCAAAAAATTTAAATTTTTTCGAAAAAAATTTTTCTTTTAAAATTAAAAAAAAATTAACGAATAACAAAAACAAAATTTTTTTAAAATATAATAAAAACGAAAAATATTTAAAGTATTTGAATTAAAATATATTTTTAATAAGAGAAAAATATATTAAATTAAAAATTAAAATTAATAAAAATAAAAATAAAGGAAAAACACAAAAAAAAAAAATTTTAGGAAATAATAGACTTTATAATAAGTAACAATTCTATAGCAATCAATGATAAAATAAGATTTTTCAAACGGGTTTTTCGAATTTTCTCAAACAAGTTTTCTTTCTCTTTTCCTCCTTATTATCTCTTTTTGTAAACTATACATATAAATAAAATAAATTAAATATAATAAAAAATCGAGGTGCTATTTAAATTTAATCAATAAAAGGTCGGTGAATTAAGGCGATTTTGGAAAAACCACCCTTATTTTTAAATGGGCAGATATAAAAAAATGACAGTAGATGATTATCCGCAATCTAAGATATAGATGTAAATGATATAGATCATTGATAAATTGATAGAGATAAAGGATATCTAAAACGATAAAATTTTCTCAATTATATATATTTTCATGAATTTAAATAATAACAATAAATAACAAATTATTAAAGGAAATTTTTGGAAAAGTTTCAAACTATATTCTAAATTAATTAATTAATATTTGTTTTATTATTATTATTTTATAAACTCGAATTAATAAAGAACTAATAAACAAACTAAAATCCAAATAAACTAAAAATTATTAATGGCAATATAAAACAAGACAGCTGAATGATTATTGCTTATATTATCATTTCGAGCATCAAAGTTCGAAATCTGCCTTCGGCAACAGTATATTTGTTCATTATTGAAAAATTCGGAATGTGATGGCAACAACCACTAATATTCCTATCAACAAGTGGTTCCATGATGAAAATCTTTCGTCACAATAATAATCTTACTAAAGAAGATGAAGATCCCATCAGAAAAGGTGAGAGCATTCACTTATCACTAATCACTTACTTTTTAGTTATTTTTCAGTCAACTGATTATTGATATGTTATTTGAATTCCATTAATATTTTCTTAATAAAAATTTCAAGTATTTCGTAATCTTCTTTAATTATTAGATTAGAATATCAAATAAAAGAGATAATAGAAAATAGAGATAATAGAATAGAAAAATAGAATCAAAATTTTTAAAATTTCCTAAATTTTTAAAATTTTTTCAAAAACATTAAAAAAGTATTTATAAAATGAATTATCAAAAAGCTTGCATTCTGATTTGCACTTTTTTTCAATTTCAGTGAATAATATCTAAAATTATTTTTACAAAACAATTATGAAAAAATTTATTGAATAAAGAAGCAGTTCGATTAAATATTTTAAAAATACATTAAAAACATTTTTAATATTTTATCACTTTTAAAATAATTACAAATAATAGATAAACAATTTTATAAAAAATATAACAATTAATGATATAACAATTAAAATATAACAATTAAAATTAAAAATGATATAAGAAATAATAAATCTTCCCTTTTAATGAAATTAAGAAAAAAATTTTTAGAATAATGAAATAATTAAATGAGACAACAAACAATAAAAACGATCGTTCATCATTGTAAGGATTTAAAATAAATAATATTAATTATTAATCGTGTTATAATATTAATCATATATTCGTATTATATAATATGGAATAATTATTAATAAATAATAAATAATATTAATCATATATTTATTTTTTTTTGCTCATATTTTAGGATAAAAACGATTTATTCGATAAGATTTGTTTAAGCGATTATAAACGATGAACTAAATGAATCGAATGGAATGACCTTTCCGAAAATATTAATAAATAAATATGTATTACAAATAAATCGTAAAAATAATATTCTTAAGTATGTTAAAGTGTAATAATGTTAAAATATATTTCTCTATTTTTTAATAAAAATTTCAAAACATTTTAAAAAAATAAAATTATTAATAAAATAATAAATAATAATGAAAAACAACCACTCATCATTAAAAGGATTTATATGAAAAATATATTTTATTCAATATTTTTAATTTGACAATAATAATTGAAAATTTTTTTGAAAGTTTTATTTTTTAAGTACAGTAATCTTTTTGAAATTAGCAGCAAAACAGTTTTACGATCATATGTGTATGGAAAAAAAGGAAAAAATAAGCCTTCATTGTTATGAGCGAAAAAACCTATAAGTCACCAAAACTACACCAAAGCAATCCCATTTCAATAATAATTCAATAATAATATAAATAAATATAGGAAATGAAAATATGAAAATGATCTTTAATGTAAAGACAAAAGAGCAGAAATTATATTATACATCTATATAGAAAAAAGAAACTTATGGAGTAATTTTGGTATCCCTTGGGGGAATGGTAGCAACGATGAGGACGGGAGGGATATTTCGAGAACATCTCCATTTTCCGTCTTTTTTTTTACATTCGCTCATTTTACGGTCACATCGCTTCTTGTTCACTCGTATAGCTCAGTTTTTTATAAATCTCAATTTTTTTTTATCGTTTCTTATATGTATAAATATTTGTACTAAAGCTTAGCTACAAGTTTTAAATCCTACGATTCAATGCTTCGCTCATCGAGTGGTGGTAAGCAGTTCTGAACCCCCACAATAATCAATCTTACTCATATAAAAATAAAATCTATGTGGAGGGCAAAAAAAGACTTTTTACGGAAATCAGCTTCGAAAAATATTTTATTTTAATTTTTCTTTTTTTCAGTTTTTTTAAATTATTAATACTATCAACTGTTAAAATAGAAGGAAAATTACAAAAAAAAATTACAGTAAAAATAAAATCAATTTAACGAATAAATGTCTAAACGAATTGTGAAAAATTTAACATACAATGAAAAAATTGAAAATTTCGATGAATATTGAATATAATTAATTGAAAATGCAAAAAAATGACGAAAAATAATTATTTTTAAAAATATATTTTTTCTTCTTAAAAAAATAAAATGTATTTTAGAAAAGTTAAATTTCTAATTTTTTTTAATAAAATTTCGATTTATTATTTTATTTCTTAAAATTTCCTCAGATTCTCATCAAATTTTATTTACTTTAATCTTATTGCATTCTTTATTTTTTATTACTTCTTTTATCTTAAATTCTTTTCAGTTTCAAAATAAATATATTTAATTTAAATTTCTATAATAAATATTTTAAATGTATGTAAAAAATTCTAAAAAAATTAGAAAATTATAAATTATAGACGAAACTTCAAAGAAACTTCGAAGAGAATCGAATCAAATAATTTTGATGAATTTGTTTCTTATTCACGAAAAAAATATAATATTTCATTAAAAATAATAAATAATTATAATACAACTTGAAAACTTTTAAAAATAACAATTTTAATACTATATTTTTACTTAATTAATAGAAATCAATCAACAAATAAAAATAAATTTCCAAAATTTTTTGTATAATTTATATAAAATTTAATAATATTAATATTTTATTTACAACAATTTTAATATAAACGATAACTTTCATTAACGATAATTGTGATAAATATTAGTGATAATTTAAACATTCTGTAATGATTACAATTTTATAAATAATAATTGATTTTAAAATTTATAAATAACAATTTATAAATAAAAAATAATAAATAATTTTAATATTTATAGACGAAAAAAATTATTGCATTCGATTTGTTGTTCTATTTGATCAACTAATTGTAACAAATGAAAATGCAAATTACGCCGACACAAATATCTTTTTTTTTCCTAAACTTTAGACTTCAAAAAACCATTGAATATAGACAAAGAATTATTGTATCGAATTTTTTTTTTTCTTAAATTTCATAAAAGCAATAAAAATTTCGAAGATTTATTAATTTAGATTTTAATTGTAAAAATATTATAAAAAACAATTTATATTATATCAAATAACAATAATTTTTATTTTATTTTAATTTTATTTTAAAATAATTTTTATTTTATTCGATCAATTTACTTACCTACTTATTTGCTTACAAATTTACAACTTAGAACTATTAAATTAAATATTCTGGAATTTTTAATAAGATTAAGGAAAACAAATTGATTCAAATTGCTTCCTAATGCAATGATTCTAAATTTTATTCTACTTTATTCATCCTTTTCACCATATGTTGGAGTAAAATTCCTCACGCCCCTAGTTGCATATCCATCGATTGGAATGATTGTCTATATGGCCTCGGGCCTTCGCAGCTTTCACGGACCTTTATCCATTCCTCACTTAAAATTTTAAAATTTCTTCTCTCATGGGAATTGTTTAGAACCTTTGACTTAATATGCAAAATACAAGAGGATTGCTAATAGTTGGATTTTTTTTTCCCTCAATACTAGTATAAACTCGCTCTGCTGATTTACGCACTAGATAAATATATCGGAGAGTCCCTTGGCGATAGAAGTGCAGATTAATCGCCAGCATAATCGGATTTTTGGATAGATTCACACATGCGGAAAGTTGAACTTCACTATCGGCGCTCCGAATTCAGCAATAACCCATTGAGCAATTCTACTTTATTCTCCAGAAATTGGAAAATAGTACAGAAAATTAAAAAAAAGAGTTTGAACTAGTAAAGGAACTTACAATAATAATAATAATAACAATAATAATAGTAATAATAATAATATATATATATTTACATCAATGTTTTTATTTATTAATTTCAGTAGAATTTAGTTAAATAATAAAATATCCATTATTAGGCAATGATAATAAAACAAAATTATAAGCGAAAATCATTAATTTTAATTAATTTCCATACAAAAGTTCAATGTCAAAGGTTGTCATATAATTTTCTCTTTTTTATTTATTATATAAAACAGAAATATCATCAAACTCATAAAATAAGCGAATAATTTCGGTTTTAAAATGAATTATTCTCACTAATAAGATTTTATATATAAATGTAAAATTTATTATATATAAAAATATAAAAACATTTAATTTATTTTCATAATTTCCCATTTAAATAATTTTTTAAAAAGTTTATAAATAACCAAAATTAATAAAAAAATAAATATTTAATAAATTACTCTTTAAAAATATTAATAATTAAAAAAAGTAAACAAATATTGTAAATCTATATTTCGAAAAAATTTTGAACAATAGAACAATACGCTGTATTAATGAATATTTTTTATGAAATTTTATAAAAACCAATAAAATCAATTCAATCTGTTTTCTAATGAATTAAATAATTTTATCAATTTAATTCGAATATTTATAAATATTTATAAATATTTATAAATAATTTATTATCTCTTAATTTTACTTTATATGAAAAAACTTTGAAAATAAAATATTTATCAAAATTTTTTGTGTAAATTTTTTATTTTTTTATTTTATTATTTATTAATCATTTATTATTTATTAATCCCTTATGAAATTTTAAATTTTTTTATAAAATTTTAGTAAATCGATCAGATATATTTTTTTAGCATTAATAATTTACCCAATTTTCTTCAGCTAAAGAAAATTTAATTTAATAATTTACGTTAAAATTATTAAATTCTTTACAAAAAAGTTTTCTCTGTCGATTTATGAAAACTTAATTGAATAATTAAATTAAATGATTGTTGAAAACAAATAATTTTAGTTATATTCAACAAATTTTAAGTATTTTTTCAAGTTTTTTACAAATTATTTTCGGATTTCCGGATTTTAATGTGAATTTAATAGCAAGAAAAAACGAAAGATCTTAGAATTAATGAATGGATTTATAAGTAAAATGTTAGAGGGAAATATATAGAAATCGAAATATTTGATTGGAAAAAATCAAAGATTTCATAAAAATATGAAAAATCAATATTTTACCAATTTAGTCTTCTTTTTCTAAAAAAAAATTTAACTTCTTACACTGAGAATTACCTTGATTTTTCGTGATAATGGCACTTTATTGCATTTTGTTTCCACCACTAATCTTTCATTTGCATTCTCTTCTTTTGTAAAGCGATTCTGTAAAATAAGTTCATGCATATGAGAAAAAATAAAAACTATGAAAAAATGACTGAAAAACTTATGCCAATTTTTCACCAATTGCCAATTTTTTAATTTAATTAAACTTAATTTTAACTTAACTTAATTTTCTTAGTGAATAAGAGCTAGGAAAATGAATGTCGTTATGTATTAATTAACTGGTTAATATATTTAATAAAAAGTCAATTTAAAAAATAAAAAATAAATAAAAACAAAAATTATAGAATTTTCAAATCTGATGAAATATTAATTAATATTATTCTTATTATTCTTTATCTATTTTTTATAAAAATTAAATAAACAAATAATTTTATAGTATGGAAATAATTACTTTTTATATAAAATTATTAATATTTAATAAAAAATTGTTATCTTTCATGTAAAATTTTGGCAACCTTCGGGAAGGAAATTTGTGAAATATTGCAAAAATTTATATTTTTTTTTACCGATTTGATAAATAAAATAGATTTTTATTGGAAAAAAAAGATAATATAACCTGAATTATTGCATTATTCTTCGTAAATGAATTCGTGTAAAATTCATTAAAATTTTTTTTATTATTTTTTAGCGAATTTAGCTGATGCGATTGCTTTACTGTATCGCTATTATTATTTTTATTCATTTTTTGTGCTTTTAATGTATCATTTCGAGAATTTCGTGAAAATGAATCCAATATTGATAATTTCCTCGGTAAAAATTTGCATATTTTCGAAACTGATGATAATTTGTTATCACTGATTAATTTGCGAAACGATATTTGATTATTGCTTGAAAGTTGTTTTTCCTTAAAATTTTCCCTATTTAAATAGAAAAAACTTTAAAAAATCTAATATAATATTTATTATTTATTGTTATTCTAATTATATATTACATTTTAAAACAAATATACCTTAGATTGTTGTCGTTCACCATTTCGAAGAGTAATTCGTGGTTTATTGAATAAAACCGATTCATTATAATTCTCGCTTTCCGATTCGCTAGTGACATACCACATTTCTGTAGTTGGTGTTGGAGTTAATGTGCGCGATGAACTGCTTGCATCCGAATCTATATTGCTAACATTCAATGGCTGTGGTACTACCTGAAATTAACCGATCAAATTAAAGCAATAAATTAATATATTCGAAGGCAAAAAAAATCCACTCCTAATTATATAATAATTTAATAAATGAATATAATAATTTCGAAAAATTCAAGAGAAATATACATTTCAGATTGATTAGTAGACAAAAAGAGACAATTTTATCAGCTTCTTGCACATAAGACGAAAAGACTTTCGTTTTATTTACATTGTTCCTGAGTCCGATACAAAATCAAATTATAAACAAATTAAAATAATTAATACAAGTGATTTTATGAATTTAATTAATTCTTCTTTTTCGAACAACTCGTATAATTTGCTGGTCAACAAGACTACATTGAATAATAATAAGGCTTTTAACTAATTAAACCAGACATATTAAAACTAATGATAATCTCGTAACGATTAAAGAAAATTAAGCCAAATTCTTACTAAAATAATATTTATTAATAATAAATTATGGTGAATAAATTTTGAAATAAAAAATCGTATCAGTTGGTGTTCTTATTCGTTTTTTGATAACATTTGTTGAAAAAATTTGTAAATTTCGATTATCGTTAAAACGAATTTATTCAAATACTATTTTGATTTTGTACAAAAAAGATGGTTATTAAAATAGAAATTAAAGAGTTTAATTTTTATTTTTTCTCTAAAATTATTATTTTTTAATTTTTCCTTAAAATTCGCCTCATTTTTTTTCTTATTCAAGAAATGCAATTTCATGATTTGAACAGAACTGCTGGACGAGTTGAATCATATTTCGGAGTCGACGCTGGATTTTTACTTCCGTTAGGAGTCAGTATGCCTTTCTAAATCTTTAGATAAAGGCGATTCACTTGTATTTCTATCGCCAAATGACTATTTGATAAAAATTGTTTGGTCCGACAAGTTACTAGCCTGAGCTGGCTTAGCCACAAATGGTAAGCGCTCTTTACAATAAAATATAAAAATTTGGTTTTTTATGAACCAAATATAAAAATCTGAATTAAAAAATTTAAGTGTATTTTATATATAAGTGTATTTTATATATAAGTGTATTTTCTATGCACAATGAATATAGTGGATGTTTTCTATTTTAGATAAAAAAAAATTTTGGAGATCCAAAAAAATAAAAAATTCTTACGTTTTGAATTTTTCTAATTAGTTAAAAAATGAAATATTTATGAAAATATTGTTTTAATTTTTAGAAAAAATTTGGAAAGAACAAACAAAATATTGTAATAAAATTATTTTCATTGAAAAAATATAAAAATATTTCATCTTTAAAACTTTTAAGCAAAAAAAGTTTGCACTTTCCGTCGCTTTTATGATTTGCTGCATTTTTATTTATATTATTTTTTTTCATTTACAGCTGAATTTTTTATTCTTTTAAAAATTTCTAAAAATCTCAAAGTTTCTGCAATAAAATATAATATTTTTGATGTGGTTTCCTCGTAGGAGTAAATTTATCTTTCATAAATCCGTGTGATTCTGATGACTTAGCTATTGTCAAAATTTGTCTGATTCGCGGCGACTCCGATAGCGGACTGAGTCTAATCAGAAATGGTGAAGGTTTTTAGAAAAAACTAATATATATATATATAAAATCTGTTTATATTTTTGTCGATTTCCGAATAATTTTTTTTATAATTTTATAATTTTATTTTAAGTTTTGTAATAAATTTCATATGGACTAAAAATTGGAAATTTTGAAACTTCTGGAAATTTCGAGTTTTTTATAAAAGTTTAAATTTGCTCTTCTTTCCATGTTCCTTATATTTTTTTTAAAATTTAAGCAAATTTCCAAATTTTATCAATAAGTGATAAAAACAATAAGAAACATTTTTAAGTAGTGATTAGCAATATAATTCTTACTAAGTCGTTAAGTTTTTCTTTTTGATATTTCAAAATTGGCGATTGTTGTGATTTTTTAAAATATGGTGATGATAATTTTTCCGCTTGAAAATTTTTTGCTGAATTAAAATGATCGTATTTTGATAAAATTGATGATTGCATCTGAAATTTGCGTTGTTATTAAAAATGATATGATTAGATTAAATATAAATGATATTGATAACGGAAAATCTATTAGAAGAATATTGTTTTATCTGCTAGGCTTCTTAAATTTCTCAATACCATGATCAATTTCACACTCTTAAAAAATTACTGAGGATATGTCTTAAGAATTTTTTTTTATGTTGGTTATACCAGGTGATTAAAAAATAAAATTGAAGAATTTTTAAATATATTTTTATATTGTATATTATGGTTCTTTTCTTACATCTCTTAGATCTCACTGAAATGGCTCCAAGAATTCTTGGAAACCACATTAAAAATTGTGCTAAGCGGTGAAATAAATGATGAAGGACAGCAATAAGACAACAAGTACGATATTGGCGATAAAAAACTGAATCGTAAAGATAGTGCCGATTATTAGAAAAAATGATGGAAATTCGATAAGCAACCGAAATATACCACTATTATTATCATTTATCATTTTCATCATTCGTCTAATAGTCAACAAGTCAATTGTAATAAAATGTGATTCGAATAATATTTTTATGGATAAACATAAATAAGTAAATAAATTTATGACTATCGAATTTTTTTTTTAAGAGCTCTCATCATTACTGGTTAAACTCGCTCCGCTGGCTTGTCGCATTGCACGTACATTCTAGGGAATCCCTTAACGATAGAAGTACAGGTGAGTTGCCAGCATCACTCGGATTAATTCTTACGGCAATTAGAACCTCAGCATTGGCGCTTCGAGTTCAACAACAACCCACTAAGCCATGCTATATCCCACAGCAATTAAACAAAGCCAAATGAATAAAGTTTTGCGAAATTTTAAAAAATTCCCAAGATTAGAGCGATGATGTGAATTAAGATTTGTGAAAATGAATAAAACATTTGAGTTTTTCATTCATAAAATAAAATTTCAAAAGAAAATTAAAAGGAAATTTTGGCTTTGGCTAAGCAATTTGACTTGGCTAAGAAGTTTTTCATTTTCAATCATCGAAGACAACAGTAATAATTTTCAATAATTTCACAAATTCGAATATCGATATTTTTGTTTATTTACTTAAAAAATTTCGCTTACTCCATTGTTAATCCGTTTTTTAATCGCTAATTCATCAAAATTGTTGCAATTTTTCATAAATTTTTCATGATTTAATTGAATTTGATTTTGTTCATTCGAGTTTATCAATGTATTCAAATTAAAACTACTCGATGGTATTGAATCAATTTCAGCTAAAATTTCTGATGTCCATCTAAAAAAATTTTTTAAATTATTTTTAATATTATTATTATTATTATTATTATTATTATTATTATTATTATTATTATTAAAACCAAAACTGAAATTATTACTAAATTAAATTGATATCATTATAATTATTATTAAATAATTATTAATAAATTTAGGCATTTAACAGAAAAAATTATAATTAAAATAATAATTAAAGTAATGAAAATTAAAATTATTTAGAAAATTAATTTATTAAATTTAATTTAAAATATTAAATTTAATTAATAATAAAATAATAATTGTGATAAAAGTGACAATTAAAAATTATGAAAATTAATAATATATTAATTTAATTTATAATTAATATATATTAGTCTTTGTATGAAATAAAATATTTATAAAAAAATTTTCTCAAATTTTTATAAGAATTTTCCGCAGATGTTTTATCGAAAAAAATCTCAAAAAAAAAAAGAATAAAATTCAATGAGCAATGTAGTAGATGAGAAAAAAACTAAATTATACAAATTCCACTTTTCTTTTTCTTTTCATTTTCTATGTTTTTAACGAAAATTAATTTTAATAATAATTAATTTTTAGTAAATTTATCTCATTAATTAATTTTATTTTTATTAATAATGTATTTAAAATATTTAAAATAAAATATTTCGAATGAAATTCTATAAAATAGTAAGTAAATTATTACTTTTGTACAGAATCAATGCTTCGAAAATCAACCATTACGCCATTCAAATCTTTCACTGATAACGAACGCTTAACACAACAATTACCAGTTGCTTCGTCATCAATCGTATTTAACCTTTTAAAGCATTCGATTAACTTTTTATTATCAGAAGTCAAAAATCAAATTATTCATGTATTATGCATTAAAAAATTTTTTTGCTGTCCCGGGGAATGTGGAATACTCTCATTCTCGGGTTCTCTGCCATAGGTAAGGGGATTTGAAAATTCTTTACAGTATCTTAGATGTTTCTAGCAGTGCGCTTGAATAAAGATTTCTGCTGTCCCACAGGAATCCACAGTTTAGAGATAATGGATCCTAGTACTCTCACCATTATTATCTTGGTCTTTGCTTCCCATATCTCTGGTTTCTTTTTCAGCTTCTGCTATTTCTCTAACTTCTCATATTCCTTCTTTTTGACTTTATAAAAAAAGTAGATAAAAATATCTACGACTATAAATCGAAAAGTTTAAATTTAAATTTTAATTTTTTTTGCTTTATAAATATCGTTCTGTTTAAATAAAAACTGAGATTTTCTTAACAATTGTGTTGATTTTTCGCTAAAATGCAAGCGAATCCAATGCAAACACTAAGCATGAAAAAACTGCAAAATAAAAATATATATAATTGATTTAGTCGATAAAATATAATTGATTTAGTCGATAAGATATATACCGAAAATCTGATTTAGCCTGGCTAAGTTTTTTCGATTTCGAATATACAGCTGCTCTTCGTTCCGCTTTCTTTGCTATAGTTCCTAAAATTTTCAATTTCCAGTTAGATTTATCGACGCTTTTTTTCATCGACGCTAAAAATCATTAAGTGATATTTACTAGATGAAATAGTTTAAGAGTAGTGATTCAATACTTACCTTTAAGCTTTGCAGATTTTTTTTTCGACTTATTCACAGAAGCATCAATTTCAGAAATATTTGATGCAAAAAAATTCCCTCGCAACTTAATTTATTTTCATTTTAATTTTTTCAATTAGAATATCGTCTATATAATAATAAAAAATATTTTATTTAATTTTATCTCATTAAAATTTTATTGATTTATTTAAAAATTTAATTATATAATTGTGATTATATAATTGTAATTAATTATATAATATAATTATAATTCATTATTTTCATTCACTATTATTAATATATATAATTATATATAGATATAATTAATATAATTATAATTATATAATTATATTTATAGTTAAAATAATGGAATGAAAAAATGGAAAATATTTTTTTGAGAATAAAACAATATTTTTTTTGAATAATGTATAACATTTTTAGTGAAAAATTTTGAAAAAAAGCTTTATTTTTATATATATCATTTTTTTTAATGAATCAACTCTAATAAATCAAAAATTATAAAATTTACGAAAGGAAAACCTGATTCGATGATGAATTATAAATTGAATATGGTTCATTTGGACTCTCTTTATCACTGCTGCTGCTGCTACTTGTTGATAAACGACAATAACGACAAGATGATGATGCTCGATTTACAGAAGCAAATGCTAAATTTCTCTTTTCTTCATTCGTTTTATGATAACGACATCGACTATACGAACGTTTACGATGATGATTACTACCACAGTCACCTAAAATTCTAGCTAAGCTTATCAATTAATAAACTAATATTGATACATTGATTTAGTTTTTATTGATAAGATATTGCTTTCATTCGATAATTTCTTCGTTCTATCTGGATTTATGAAAATAAATAGTAATTATTACTTTTATTAGTACTTATTAGTACTAATTAGTACTTATTAGTATTAGTTTATTAGTACTTAACTTTAAAATGATTTCAAAATTAGTAATAAAAGACGTTTTTTGAAAAAAACTCACACCATTTCAGATTAGTCTCGCTCTGCTAATTTTTGACAAATCGGACAAATTTTGAGTCAACAAGGGAATCAATTCATAGAAATATAGGTTGAATTGCCGACATCGGATTTTTAAAAGAAAAGCCCACTTTTGCCAAGAATAGAATCCCAGTACCAGTGCTACGAAATGAGAGCAACAGCCCACTAATTAATTCCCAAATTTTTCGATTCCCTACGGAAGAAAGGCATAATTGTTATTTTTTTTAGAAAGAAATCGATCCAAAAATTCATAAAAAAATATTTGAAAATTTCTTTGAAAATTATGATTAAATTATGATTTATATGAGTGTTTAATTTCACTTTGAAAAGAAAAAAAAATTTTAGTACTTTGATTTTTAATTTTTTTCTATTTTTTAAAAGATAATCCAAAAAAAATTTATTTTTTCTATATTTTTATTTTTTATAAATATTTTTGTAGAAAATCAATAAATAATTATTATAAATACAAGAATATATAATATTCAAAATGAAAAAAATCACAAACAAAATTTTAATTAATAAAAAATAATAAAAGTCGAATGAAGAAGAAGAAACCGATAAAATTGATAGCAATTAATGAATTTGTATTATTTTGAGGTAAATTCGTCACAATATTCGGTTTCGTTTTATTTCTTAGTTTTTCATCATCATAATCACTATCGCTATCACTATCAATATCAATATAATGAAGTTCGTTCGCTGATTTATGCCGTCGGTTCAATGAAGGGGTCAAAGGTAGCCTAAATCTCGAATAATTTTTTAATAGAAAAAATAATTTACTCTTTTTTTTCAATTTATATTTAATTAAATATTTGAATTATAAAAATGAAATATTTAATTCTGAAAGAAAAATAAAATTTAATAAAATATGCAATTTAATGAAAATAAGTTTTTTTTCGTTGCATGAAAAATTTTCATTGCTTTCTTTAATATATTTTAATATATTTTTCATTCAAATTTTTCTTATTTATTCAATCAAAAAGTTTTTTTATTAAATGTAATATTATTTTTACATTTTTGTTTCATTTGAAAACGAGAAATTTGCTAAAATTTGATAAGAAAATTCAAAAAAATCAAATCGAATTACATTAAAATATAAATAATTTTCGAGCAAATAATTTATCTTTTCAGCAGTTTCATCAAAACTTTTTTAAATTTCGCTAAAAATTAATGTTTTTTTTTCAAATGGATTTCCATGAAAATAAATTTTCTTTTTTGTGTGAAAAATAATTTTCACTATTTTTTTCCTTTCTTTCAAATTTTTCCTATTTTATTCAGTCGAAAAGATTTTTTTAATTTCTTTTTTTTTAAAATATATTTTATTAAATTTTTAATATAATTTCAACAATTATTGATTATTGATTAATTATTCAGCAATCATATCAGTAATTAATTATGGCTGTAAGAAATTAGCAAAAAAATATTTTGCAAGAATTAAAAATAATAAATAATAAATATTCATTTACTTGCTGTTTATTTTCGATAACGTATGTTTATCAACGAGCGCCGACGAATTTTGTAAAGTTTTTTCCTAAAATTTATCGCATAATAATTAATTATTAAAATTGAATTGATAAATTAACAAACTTACATTTAACATTATTTATATTCAAAAATATTAAAATATATTTCAATGAATAAGAAGAATTTCTTCATTTTAATTTTATAAGCTTGTTTTAATTGTATTTTAATTTAAAAAATTCGATATTTCTATATAATTATTGTATTGTAATTAAAATTACGATATGATTACTATATGATTTGCTTTTCGATTCATTAATAAATTTAGAAAAACCATTTTTAAAATTTAAAAACCATTTTTATCTTTTCTGAAAATTTCCGCGGGCTTCTATAAATTTTACAAAATTTATTTCTTAATTTATTTTTTATTTCTTATAAAACTTTAATTGATCGTTAATTAACAAAAAAAATATCTATCGAAAATTGAATAATTTTTAAAATCTTTCATAATTCTATCCAATTATTAATTCTTTCTCGCCATTTCCATTTAAGCTTGCTGGCTTGCCATATGAAACGAAACTTGCCAGGAAGTCGCTAGGCAATAGAACTGTGATCAAGTAATCTGTAGTTGTAATCCTCCCGGAAGTAATGCTCCATATTTCACTTAGCCTCATATAAGTGAAAGCAATGAAAGTCATTGAGTCATTTTTAATTGTATTATATAGTATTATATAAATAAAAACATTAATAAAATATTAAAAAATATTATTTTTTTATAATAAATACTGAAATAAATAAAAATTATTACAGAAATTATTTATTAAAAGTATTAAATTTGTTATTAAAAAAGTCGAATTTTTAAAGATAATATAAATAATAAAGATAATACAACAAATAAATAAAATAACAATAATGTAATAATATAGATATAATAAAAAAAAAAGATAAAAATATATATAAAATATAAAATATAATATTAAATATAATATAAGATAATATAAAAAGATATAATAAAAAGATTTTTATCGCAAAATTAAAATAATTAATTTTTACAATAAATTAATTCATTTTCTCCTCATTAAGCTGATTACTGACTTTATTTTCAATTTATTTTCATTTTTTTACAAAACAAAGATACAAAGAATCCAAAATATTTTTAAATAAGCAAAATTGTTTTCAGCTATTTTCCATAAATTACGACAAATGAGCGAATTATGCTCTCTAACTTTTTGTAAATGGATATCATCAATAATAATGATAATAATAATGAATAATAATGCTAATAATAATAATGAATAATAATTGATAACAATAATTGACTATAAAATAAATTAATAATAATAAATTATGACAAATGAGCGAATTACGCTTTCTAATATTTTTGTATTTGCATGACGTCAATAACAATAATAATAAAAGTATAATGATAGCAAATAATAAATAATAATAATTAGTAATAATAATAGCTGATAATAATATTAATTAATAATTAATTAATAGATAATTAGTAATAATAAACAACAGATTACGACAAAAGAGCGAATTACAGTTTTTGTACGTGGGCACCGTCAACATTTATTATAACAATAAAAATTTATAATAACAACAATTAAAAATAATAAAAATAAATAAATAACAATAGCAACAATAATAATAATCAATAAATGTACTTATTCAATTAAAAGTGAAATTAAAATATTTCAGAAGAAAAAACAAAAATATTTCCTAAATTTAAGATATTTTTTAGTATATTTTTTCAAATTATTAAGAAAATAAATTCCCTATTTGAAAATTTAAATTTTTATAAAAAATTTAAGAATTCAATTAACTCTTTCTTCCTCAGTTTCAACCAATAAAAAAAACTATATTTTTCCCTCGTTATAAATTATTATAATATGGTATTATTATTTAGGAAAAAATAGAGAGACATATAATTACCTCTATGCCACTTAAATTTGATCAAAACTAAAGTGAAGTTAAGATTTTTCGAAATTTTATGTAATTTTAAAATTTATAGTTTAAAGTTTAAATTAATTTTTAAATATAATTTTTAAAACAGTGCCATTCAAAACATATCAATCAAAATAATGATTGATAAAAGAGATAAAGACACCTCATGTCACCTTAGATGAATAGGTGCATAAAAATTATCACCTCCGTTACTAAAAATTATTAAAAAATAATTAATTAATTAAAAATAATGAAATATTAATTACTAAATTCATTAAGTGAAAATTTCTTTTACAATATATATATATATATATATAATCCAATAAGGAAAAAAGAATTTGAGAAATTTAAAGAATGAAAAAGCTTAATAATAACAACTGCAATGTTGAGAGATTTAATGAGAAATGGTAAATTTATAACATGGCAATGGTAAAAAACATTGGTAGATTCAAATCGTTTGCTATCCGCCTACATCTTAAAGGATATTTTTTTACGGAAAGCGTCTTACCATGATAATCAGTATTGATAAGTATTGATAAGAACCGACTAAACCAATGATGCCGTTTGGAGAAAATGAGGAAAGGAAAAATAAAAAAAAAAGATATTTCATAACTTTTTTCTCAATGAATTCCTCTAAAAAAAAAAAAAAGCTGCAAATTTTATTTCTTTAAATATATGAATAAGCAGAAATATAAGTCAAATAAATGAGAAAAAATAAGAAATGTATGTTTGCCCATTTAGTAAGTTTAGGAAACTTAAAATTAAATTAGACGAGTGAATTTAGCTATTCCATTAAATACTTTTGCAGAAAGTAGCATTATTCAGTTTTTATGGTTTTTAGTGTTATAAGCTTAAAAATCGTAAACCAATCGAAACACTGATTGATAAAAGAGACCTTGTGTTACCTTAGAAAGGACCTTATATCACCTTTTGTGAATATTTGTAATAGTTTTATCATCATCATCGTCATTAAATAGCAAAAAATATTAATTATGGTTTCATTACGGGGAATATTTCTTTTATAAAATTTATTATCTTTAAAAAATAATAATAAATTATTTTTAAAATTTCTATTGAACAAATCAACAATTTTAATCTAAAATTAGATTTATTATAAAAAAGAATTGAAGAAAAAAAAAATTCGCTGTAAATAGTATTTTAGTAAATACGGGAAAACTAAAAATTCAACCAATTATAGTGTTGTGATGAAGGGAAGGGAAAAATTTCGGAAATTAGTTTCATGAAATTAGAGCAATCATACGACTTTTATATATTCATTTATATTCGATCTCTGGGGAAAAATTCTATCTAAAGAAAATAAGGAAAATTATTTTATTTAAAGAAAAAAGTGGCCTAATTGAAAAGATGTGGGTGAAAAGCATTCGTGGGTTGTTGCTCTCATTACTGAGCGTCTAATGCTGATGATGGTAAGCATAAATCTATCGGGCAAAAATTTAGAATTTAATGCTATAACTTATCTATACTTTTATCTTCAAATTTTTAGTCCAATAAGCCAGCGAAATGAGTCCAATAAGGCTAACGGAAACGATAAGCGTTATTAGAGATAAAAACTATAATTGGTTGGCCAAATTTAATTATGAATTCCTGCATAAAATATACAATAAAACGTCTTATGGAAAGATGAAATTTTTTGAATTTTCATAAAATAAGATTTTTCAAAATGAAATTAAAAATATATTTAAAATATATATGAAATAAAAACATATTGTAATAAAATTCAAAGTGAAAATAATAAAAAAAATTCTAACAATTTTTAATAAATATAAATTTTCTAAAAGTTAGCTATTGGAAATATTTTTATTTTTTCAATTATTTATTTATTTTTTTTTAATTTTTAAGGCAGATTTTTATGCAATTTTTTCAGTGGTGGCATTATTAAATTGAATTGCATTGTTTTCCAAGATATTTCATTTTGAAAATGACAAACAAAAAATTATTTACATAGGGATTGCATTGCTTAAGCTTATGTTAAAACGGGATTTTCAAGTGTTGCCTTAGTCTCTTCTTTAGTATATTTATATGCTTTTGAATTTTCGCGCGAATTATATTAAATAATCTGGGAGGAAAGCCCTTCGCCAAAGGTCCGGGCGTTTGAGGGATCTTCCATTGTATTCCTGAGACCTGCCAGAGACGCCTTTCCAGGTTTCGCAGTCAAACCTCGAGTGTTCTTACCTCTACTATAAACACTTTGACAAATCTTCCTTCTGAACGAGATTTTGCATTGGGAAGAATATAAAAAAAGGCAAAAATATGAATACGATTTTTAATGATCATAAATGACAATGATTTATTGAAAAGGAAGAAAATTTTTGAAAAGGTTCAAACGGATATTCAAAGTAATTTTGAAATTTTGAAATTCGTCCAAACTTCGATATTATTCAAAAGTTAATAGTTAGTAAAATATTTTGTAAAATAATAATTAATAATAATTAATAAAATTAATTAATTAAAAAATAATTAATAAAATATATAATAATTATATTATATTAATACATATTTATATTATATTAATATTAATAATATATACATTTATAACAATTAGTAATAAATGATTAATAAGAAAATTTATTTCCTAATTGAAAGATAATTTAAAAATTAAACTTAAATAATAATTCAATTAAAAAAAATTAAAAGTAAAAAAATTAGATTTAAGCCAAATAAAGATTAGAAAAAATATATTACTTAAAATATTATAGAAAACAAAATAAAAATTAAAAAATATCAATAATAAAACTGATCATAATTTATGATTTATGAACAATTATATATATACATATATGTAAAATATATACATATATATATGTGAAGTTATAGAAATAGCAAGGGTTTAAACAGGAATCAGAGAATATGTAGAAACTGAAGGCCAAAGTGATAATTGCAGTGCTAAGAAAGAACTGTGACCCTTAAATCAGAAAAGTGGTTGCAACAGATTCCAGGAACAAACCAGATATCCAGAAGAGCGCACTGCTAGAAAACCTTAATTTCTCAGGCTTCTGGCAAAGGACCCGAGATTAATGATGACCCATGCCATTCATGGGAAATAAGAAAGGGATTTTATATATATATATATTCAACAGAATAAAGAACTGGCTGAAAAGAGAAAAAAGGGATAATAAATAAGAAAATGAAAGAAAGCAAAAAAATAAAAGTTACTGATGAATCTATGACGATGATTAGTATCAACTGATAAAAAATTTTCATGAAAGAATTCTTCATATGTTTCAATTATCACAATTATCGTTATTGTTATCAGTATCACAAGGTGATTATCATGGAAATTAATATATAATGAATCCTATTTTGAAAAGAAAATTATATTTATAAATTTGCAATAAGAAAACGTTAAACGATTTGATTTCTTACTTTAGATCAATTATTTAATTTTA